GTTGCAGGATGTCTGATGGAAATCAAGATGGCTGGCAACCTCAGACAAGGAAGCTGTGCAGTGATAGAGAAGTGTGTGTGCTAATCTTTGATACGAAGGGCGGTGGAGAATCAATTATTGCTATAATGAGCAGCAGTCTTGTACTAGCGTTCTCTGCATACGTGACTCGTCCTGCCTCCGGCTTAGTGAAACAGAAAACAAGCATAAAATATACCATCACAACAAAGCGCATTGACTTCCTTGGTCAAGTTTACCGAAGATTGACCAAAGACAGTAAGTAGCTCAGCACTCACCTTAAAACCCTAAGGCACCTCATTTTCATGGCGTCTCTCTGAATTCAAAACACCTTAAGCACCGAGTACAGAGTGTGTGCTCTGGTAGGCACAGCTTTTGTGCAATAAATACCTGACATCACTTGGAAACGAATTAACTAGGGTCACTACTCATGTGTATGCCACATGTAAATAACCCAGTCAAACTGTACCTCACCTCACTCTTTCATAGCAGGTAGGGGCTAAAACCTGCAATAAGATACTGGAGATCCTGGCCTTTTCTGGGGTTTCTTTTGCTACGATGTGGTTTAACAGGCTACCTGCAAGCTAATCTGTCCTGTCAAGCATTCCTTTCTGGTTCACGCTGCTCCCTTTTCTGAAGGAGACAAGGAACAGATGTTCAAGCAGCAGAGCTGTCTGAGCAGCCTCACTCTTTCATTTGTCTGCCAAATCCAACTCAGAGGGTGGACTGTGTCTGCTGCAAGGCCTTTGGAGCACCAGCTTCTGTATCTCCCCACACCACAGAAGGAGAATGAGGACAGCTCACCTGTTTTGGTACTAAGATCCATCCAATCTTATTCCTTTCCTTCCTTTTTCCCCTTCCTCCCCCCCCCCCCCCTTTTTTTTTTTTTTAATTTTCCTTTTCTACGTAGCTGCTGGTTTACCCTGTTTCTCCTTCTTTGACACCACAGCCAACTCAGCATGATTCCAACCCATCTTCCCTTCTGCCCGGTGGCAAAAATCTCTCCAGCACACTTATGATTTTGTACTTGGAAAATACACACGCTTCTGCAGCTGCAAGCATCAGAAAAAGGGGTTGGAGCCACCTTGCAGGCATGGAGCGGGTGCATGCAGAAAGTAAGAGAAGCAGCTGCTTGCCAGAGAAAGTTGGAGGCATCTTTCAGGGCACCCCAGGATCTGACTTGGACCCTCTGAGTGCTGCTAAACTAGGGGCAGTCTAGTTTTGCTTCTTTACTAAATTTCAGGTCAGCATCCTTCTGGTTTCAGCCCCGTTGTGCTATTTGCCAGAAGTGACCTAGGGACAGTGTATCTGAATTACCCTGGCCTTGCTGAGAACAAGGGTGTTTGTTCCAGAACCCTGAAGAGTAAGTCTCCCTGTTGTTAGGAGCTAGATCCTCTGTATAGGCCTGGCATAAAGCCAGGCTTTTATATTGAGTTCTGTCTTTCAGAACCCTGTGAAAATTGTCAGAAACCCCCCCACCCACCTTTACATATTTCCTTACTGGCAGTCTTGAGTTTTAAATCATTCCAATTTTGTCTTCCTCTGTCGCAGCTAGGCATCTTGTCCTCACTTGAAAATTTCATTAGTGTCTTGAGCGTTTCTCCATCCTGCAACTTCAGAAATTGCGGGCTTTCCTATCTCTGCTGAGCCCTCACAACGGCAGGGTGAAGATGTGTGGGCCAGGAAACTGGGAAGACAGAATTACAACTGCATATTTGTTCAGTTGTTGAGTAAACATTTCAGCAAAGCCTACAATGAGTCACCACATTAAAGGCTGTCCTTTGTACCCTCCTTGGGACTGCTTTTATAAAATGAATATAAAAAAGTCAGATCCGGTTAATCCAAATCATTTTACAAATTAAGGTCTACAGGCTTTTAAAAGCACGCCTACCCCAGTGGGCAGGCAGAAGGAAGCTGTGCTGCCTGTACCACAGTCACCAGACACATCTGGAGTGCAGAGCCCCGAGTCCCTCGTGGGGCTGCTGAGGAAGCGCATGCACTGTCAAAAGCTGCTGTGTGGATTCGGACTGTGGCGTGTGTGCTGGGCTGTAGCTGGCATGGAAGTGGATTTTACTAGTGAGACCATGATGACTGCCTCAACTTTCCTCGTGGACCGGACTCAAGAAGCACATGTAAGGGGATTCAGACTCCCTATATCCTCTGTGCTCATATACACCTTGTGCATAAGCTATGTGAATCTGGCCCATAATCCTTTCTCAGGTTGAAAAGAAATCTTTATATCGTACGTGTAGATAAGCTTATTTTCTGTGAACACTCAGCCATAAGAATAATCAAAAAATGATCTGCCTTTTGCAGGGAGTAGCTTTGTTTAAAAAAGGAGAACATTTTGGTTTTGCTATTCTGCTTCCTGTATGTGAAATTCTAAGCTTTTCATCTTAGGGAAACAAAATTTGTTTTAATGTTCTGTATATCTGACAGGATTAAAGGGACTTCTCAAACATGAAAAGTTAGCCTTTCTAGAAGGCCTAAATATGTACCATTAAAAATGAAGTAGGTGAATTAATATGATTTAGATGCTCAGGAGCTGATTCCAAAGAAAGCCTAAGTGCTGGCAGAAAATTCTGCACCAACATAACCCAGGCAGTTCAAAATAGCCATCGCAACAACGTCGTCTTTTCTTAAGTGCACTTGCACTTGTCTCTGCAGGGCAGAAGTGAACAAGTGCTCCAAGAGAAATGCAAGCTGTTTAGCTGGGCTGAGACTGAGCTGGGCTCTGCTTCGGGAGACGAAAATTCCTGCCCATGCAATAATTTGGACTGTGCTAGTAATGCTTTTGTTTAAAAAATAATCACCAAGCCTCATCCTGACTTGCTGTTGAAGCAGACAGAGTATGCTTTTGTTTTAAATCACCTTGTTTGCCTACAGCTGAGCTAAAAGGCCACTGCAGGCTGTGATTCAGTGCCCCAAACATAGGCTGTTTTACACAGCGTAGGGCATCTGAGAGATCTGCATGGCAGTGGCACACGTGAGATATTGCCTCTAGCAGACCCATGCCCTTCCAAGGCAGGAGCTGAAGGCCAAATAGGATTTCCCAGGGTATCTAAAATGGCATGAGGTATCTACATTTAAGCAAACGAATCCCATCCTGTGGAATCTTGGACTTACTCTGCTTGAAATCTGGAAGCATTAGTTTATCTGCTGTCATATGTGCCTGTGCTCTCAGCCCTTTTCAGTTTGGGGAGGTTCAGGGTAAGAATACAGCTGTCTCTGTGTGCTGGGGTTTGCCTTCCACCAGGCAATGCAATGACAATTTGTATTTGTTTCCAATCCAAAAAAAGTAATTATTTGTTTTTACTAGTCTACAGAAAGAAATGTCATTTCAATCTCCTCCAGAGAGTGCTGCTGATAAACTTCTCATATTTCTTCCCTTTCATGTCTAGGCATTTCTGATAGAAACACCACACATTCTTTTAAGATTTTCAGTACTTAGAAACCCTTAGATGTTCAGAGGTTTTGTGTAACTGGAAAGGCTTTTCAGAAACCAGTAGGTGATATTATTCTGCATTGAATTATATAGGAAAAGAGGACGTAGAAGGATCATTGCCTTATGAAAGATGACAGGAATCCCTCATACCCAAATGATGCAGGGGCTGCGGTAGCAATATTGTAATGCCTTATATGTGATTTGAAGGAGTTGAAGTGTCTCTAGGAATTACAATTTTTTACCTTTAAATGTCAGTCCTCGATATATATCTTGTTCTTGCTTTTTGTTATGTGACATATTCATGTGTGATGTGCCTTGAAAGTCAACAGCTTCTCTGATTTCTGTCCTATGAAAAATAGCGTTATTTGTTAGGTTTGAGTAACCTCATCAGGTGAGGGAAACTGAATGAAGATTCAGACATTCATAAGGAAATTAAGGTTTGAGATGGTCTTAAGGATAAAGTTGTGGGGAGGAAAGTTCAGACAAAAGCAAAGAGCAGTTCATCAGTCCTTCAGGCAAAGGGATGTTAGTAGCAATATCAAGCTGATGATTTCATCTATACTTACAAAAATAAATTAAATGTGTGCAAAACCTCTGGCCCAGATAGGGAAAAAATTTCCCAGTGATCAATTAACTAAAAAACCTACTAAACTCCACAGCTTTCCTGGCCCAAAGCAATGTGCAATTAGAGAAGACTGCATGGTAAACATGGGG